TAAGGTGCGTAATCTTAATAAGTTTAGCATAAGTAGCGGTCGAAAAGTTAAAACGAAGCTAATAAAGCTTGCGGCGAGCGCAATTAAAAAGAATTTAATGCTTAGTTAGCTATGCTCGTTCGAAGATTACGTTATGATTTTTAAAGTTAGTGATAAAAAAAGAAATAAAAGATTAAACGCGCTTATTAATCGTAAGGTTAAGAAATGCAAAATGTAAGATAATAGCTTTACGAGCTTTATTATATAATTTAATAAGAAATAAAGCTGAAAGAAGTTGAATTAAAAGTTTAAGAAAAAAAGAAAGTGATTTAAATAGCGCTAAGTTAATTAGCGCGTATTTATTAGCTCTTAAATCGAGCAAAGCAAATACTTTATACGAAAAGCTATTCTTGATAAAGGTAACGGGTATAATTATAGCTTTATTATTAAAAAGCTTCGTAAGGTCAAAGTATCGCATATCTCGAAGCTGGCTTAAAAAGAAAGCTTTGCTTAAGCCTCGACGTTTCCTTTATTATCGAAAGCGTCGGAGTTAATAAAAAAGAGCTTTTAATAATCTTTAAAAGCATCGAAATAAAGCTTATCGTTCGAATCGTTCGAATAAAGGCCGTATTTAAGTCCGGCGCTATATTTTATTTCGTTGATTAAGTAATAGCGAGAGAGCTTTAGCGTATTCGGGTTTTTGCAAAACGATTTAAAAGTTTTAATCGCTAATTTAAAAGCGTTTTCGAAAAAAGAGAATTTATTAGATCGATTAGATCGATTTGCATTAGCGCTAAAGCTATTAAAAGTTTAACGCTAAAAGGTAGAAAAAGAAACGAAGATTAAGCTATTTTAGCGGTTTTCGTAATAAGTGATTTGCTTAACTATTGTATTTTAAGCCGAGCGGGATTCGTTACGAGCTTTATTATAAAAGCTTTTTGCAAATTAAGTGTTATACTTAGCTTATAAAGCGTCGTAAAGCTTTGCAAACGCGTATTAGCTAGCAGCCAATTGCTAGACGGCGGTTTAAAAGTCTTTAAAAGTTATAGTTTTAATAAATTTTAAATAAAGCTGGTCGCGTAGCGTTTTAATGATCTTAAAACGCAAGGCTTTACGTAATCGATTTTCGTTTTTGATTTCGGCGATAACGGCAAGCTTCGAGAAAACAAAATAAAAGTTTTAAAATTGTTAGTTAAGCTTTATATAAAGTTTTTCGAACTTAATTAACGCTTTAGCCTTTTTAGCGAAGTCGTTTAAGAACTCGAAAGCGATCTAAACGAGTTTTAAAGCGGTTACGAGGTTGCTACGATTTATAATTAAAAAGGCTAAGAATAAGTAAGCTGTTTTTTCAATTTGATCGAAGATATAGTTTTTGCATTAGCGTTTTATAAAAAAGTATTCTTCGAAAGCTTTTAAGTTATCGAAAACGCGAGCTTGCTAGTAGCGTGCTCGATAGCTTATATCGTTTAAAAGCTTTTATTTAAAGTTAAAGATCCGCTTGATACGAGCCCGACCTTAAGAAGCTAAAAAAGAGGCTTTAAAAGTATTAAACTTAGCTAAAGTGCGGAAGTTGGTTAGCTTATAAAAAAAAAGTGGTTTATCGTCGTCGGCGAAAAGGCGGCGAAAGTTAGCGGTTTTATAAATAAAAAGAATAGTTTAAAAGACCGAGGGCTTGTATAACTCTTTGCTTTTAAAGTTATCTTCGAAAAAGACTTAAAAAAGCTTTAACGAGCGTTCCGTAGTTAGCAAGACCGCTTAAAGCTGGTTTAGTTTCTTTCGAGCTCGATAAGCTTTTTTTTTAGCTTTTTTAATAAAGGTTTTTTGTTCGCTAGCGCTTTTATCGAGCTTTTCGTTGCGGGTTTTTATATTTGCGAAAAGCTTTTTAAGCTTAACGGCCTTTCGTTAAGACTAAAAAAAGGCTTGGTATTAAGCTAAGGCTTTTTCGAAGTTGATAAAAGCCGAGGGATCATCTTTATCGTTTTGCTTATTAATAGCTTTTTTTTAAATAAAAAGAACTATTAGTTGGGCCGTAAAAGAAAAAGAAGAAGCTGCTAAAGCAGCTTTAAAAAGTATGCGAAGGATTTTGCTCGCGAGGCGAAGGTTGTTATATTATATAAGTGCTATCTTTTAAGTTATATTTAAAATAAGCCTTTTCGTGACCGTTAAAGTCGTTTAAGTGTTTTAACGTCTAATCATTAAGGAATTTTAAAAAGAAAGAATATTATTAAAGCCGTTCTCGGCGAAATAAGGTAATTGTTGATAATATAACGACTTTAAGCGATTATTTAAAAGAACTTACGAGAGCGCGAGGGTTTATATAAAAGCTTAAAAGAATTTTAAAATAATAACTTAAAATTAATAACTATCGAGTATAAAGGTCGAAAGTAGCTAAAGTTTATATATACGAAAGTAAAAGCGCTAAGGACTCGTGAATTATAGTTTATAAGTCAAAAAGCGGGGAATGAAAGAATACGAAGGAAAAAGAAAGGAAGTAGCTTGGCGCATGTAAGGTGCGTCCAAGAGACCTGGCGTGTCGTCACACGCAAAGCAATTACTATTTGCGTATTGCTTTCAATACTTTATAATATAAAAGCGTAATACGTAAAGCGCTATCGCTTAATTTGCAAATCCGAAAAACTAAAAGTTATTAACGCTTAAGTCGAAAAGATAATTAATTTTATTAATAAAACGATAACCCTCGCGGCGCGCGAAATACTTTCGATTTAAAAAACGATATTAACGGCAACGCTTTTTCGAGATACTAAGCTTTTTTCCGGCGCTACGGCTTTAAAAAAAGCTAAAGCTAAATTTATAATAAAATTAAAAACGATAAACGATAAGCATTTATTAATTAGCCGGATACTTTTGCGGATCCGATAACGCGATTGCGGCGTAAAGATTATTAAGATCTTCGAAACTAAAATCTAAAAATTAAGAATTCTTTTTTTAAACGTTTTTCGCTTTCGCTTCGTTTTTTCGCACTTTATATCGAAAAACAAACGAGACCCGGCGGATAGCAAAACGAAAAAAAAAGCTATTATCGCATTCGAAGCATAATAATAATAGCTTCCGTTAAAAAACATTACGATCTTTTCAAACGAATTAAAATAATACGATTAAAGCAATCGATTAATAAGCTACGAATACGTAGTTTATTAAAGACGTTAAAAAACAAGCTATAAGTACGGCTTTATTAACGATTGCTTTTACGTTTTTAACGCAAAAGCGATAAAAGCATAAAAAAGCTTCGAACGAATAATGCACGCTTATCTAACGGCGAAACGGATTTAGCTTTATATCGATAGTATATTAATCATTTAATATCTTTACGAAAATGCTTTTTTATTATTATAATAAGCGTTTTTAAACGTTTAAAAAGTAATAAAAACTCGAGACGTACGAATACGATAATCTTTAAAGCATATAAGCATTAAAGAAAACGAACAAGCGGATAAGCTTGCAAATCTAAAAGCAAAAAAATCGAATTAAAATATTAATTTAATATCGCAATCTACGATTAGCGGCATCCGCATACTCTTTCGCGATATACGAAATAAAGTACGAAAAGCTTAATAAAGCGCAAGCTTTCTTAAGCTTTTACGCTCGTATCGAAAATAAAGCTTTTTATATTTAATTAAGCTTTTTTCAAAACTAAAACTTTTACGATATATTTTATATAAATTATTTGCGATTCGAATTACGCACGAAAATTTTACTTAATATTATATTAAGTTCTAATATTACGACGCTAACTTAAAGTATGCTTGCGGTAAACGCAAATCCTCTTTGCACTTAACCTTTTATCGATTTACGTAGCGACGCTTTTTCTTTTAGCTTTATAAAACTCGATCGCGGACTTTTTCGAACACGATCTCGAAAGCTTACGACTTTCTTAAAAGTCTTTTTAATAATCCGGCCGATTTTCAAGCTTTTTTAATTATTACGAAGTTTTATTTTAAGTATTGCACTTAACAAAAGTGCTATTTTAGCTAATTGATATTGCTTCGATAAAAAAAACGAAGTACGCTCCGCTTTACTTAAGCTATAAAGGCTCGTTAAATTAATTGCGTTACGAAATTAAGACTTTAAAATAGCGTAATGCGCTCTCGAAAGAATTCTATTTAATACTAGTATATTATATTAAGTTTTCTTTTAAAGTTTAAGCTTTTATATTCACCTTTTCCTTTTCCTTTTCTTTTGTACTCGGCTGACCCTAGTCCGGCCTTGATTCTTATCGCTACGCGACGTAAACAGCTCGCTTTTAATTAATTATAGCAGTTTATACTTGCTTGACTCTCTTTTTTATAGTTTTCCTTTAATAAAAGGTTTCCTTTCTATATAATCTATTTTATCTATAAAGAAAAGGCGCATGCGATAATAGCCTTCGCTATAGCACTTTAAATTGCTTTCTAAGGCTTTCTTATATATAACTCTTTAGCTTAGCACGTCGCCGTACCTTATAAGAAGTCTTAGGGCGGCAGGCTTCGCTTGCTACCCGCCCGACGTTAATAAATACAACAATAACAACAACAACAAAAAAGATCCTCGTCTTTTCGAAATACGGAGCGCTGCCCCTCGCTAAAGCGATGGAAATACGAAATAGGGTTGATTGGTTTGGAATAAAAAGAAGAGGAAAGATTCAAATATGGATAATCGTAATTCGTTCAATAAATTCATGCCTTGCCATAGATTGTACACACAAAGGTTCGTACATTCTCTGACTAATTCGATCCTACTCAGCCGCGAGAGCCTTGGGCCCGGGCCAGCAAACAGCTACACAACGAATGACTCACCCCCTAGTCTGTTGATCGAAAACACAAATGAACGCCTGAATCTATTCAAGCTGGTTGCTTCGACCAGCAGGCGGGCGCCGTGTGCACCCTGCTATGCTGCGATGTGCTGTGCTGTTCTTCCCGTCAACCATGTCCCTGTACCATCCAATCAGCAACATAGCGAGTCACTTCCAGCGAGCCTTAAAATCTATATGCTCCGAAAACGCACTTCATCGCAACTGTACACCATCACAGTCCGTAGACGTACGGCCCCTTATTCAAATAGTCCCTATCCTCCGCCCTCTCCCTTTCCTTTCCCTTTGCAACCCTCTTCCCCGCCTCGGCTTCCTCGTCCTCAAATCGCTCTACCATCTCCACCGTGTCCAGTTGCGTACGTTCCTCGATGCTGGCGCTGCCCCCAAATACCCTCCTCAGATGCGCACATGCTTCGTTATAACATTTGTCCGCCGCCTCGGGGAAATGGAGTGGGTTAGGCTTCTTGTCAAAGGCGTGCGGAACAGCTCGAATGAGACCCCCGTGAAGCGTTTTGTCTATGGGATAAGAGGAAAGGCGTTCGCCGAAGGCAATACCTTCGTGGTTCAGCATGTCATATTCGCAGGTGTAGAGAATAATGTCCTCGGGGTAGGCGTCGCGTAGGACGGCATCGGACGCCGTTATAGGGGACAGGTAAGGGTCTGAGAGGTCGATGTCACAGTCAGGCAAATAGGACTGGTCGAACAGGTTCGTGAGCATGGGCGGGAGATTCTTTTCCGGCGCGGGGTTCGTGATACGCTTCTCGGCTCTAGTGCGGCGGAAGTCGGTAGGTGGGTAGAAGGAGACGATTGCGCAGATCGTGAGGTCGGGGATCTGCTGGTCAATTTCTAGTGCCGTGGGCTCGAGATCGGAGAGCTTTAAGATGGAGTGCGAGGAGTTTGTGCGGACAATTGTTGTGCGGGAGAGACTGAGGGTGGATGTGGATTTGTATTTGTGCAGGGCATGCGTGTTGGTCTCGGCGTGTAAGCTGCGCCTGCCGGCGTCGTTCTGGAGGTCGTGGAGCATGAGGGGGACCGTGAAGGCGAAGTTCCCACCGGCGCTGAAGCCCGAGAGGGCCATGCGGTGGGGGTCGATTCGCAGCTCCTCGGCGTGAGAGGCGAGATAGATCATGGCGTCTGTGCCGTCTTCCACGCCGATGCTGAAGGGGTATTCGGGAGCCAACCTGTATTCAACCGAGACGAGAATGGCGTCGACATTCTTCAGGACTGCGTCTGCCCAGCGTGCGTCGTCAGTGCCCGTACCCAGCGTGAAGCCGCCGCCATGGAAGTTGACGACGACGGGGAAGCGGTACGCCTCATCGGTCTGGTAGTAGGAGGGCGGGACGTAGAAGACGAGCTTGAACTGGCCCCCGACTGCTGATAGTCGTGACGGGATCACTATCTTGAAGTTGGGAGAGGGGGGTTTTGGGTGGGCGGCGTGGTGGAATTTCATCCCGACGGCCATGAGGCCGCGCCATATCGCAGCCTTCATCCAGAGAAACCAGATACGAGAGAACCTTCTCATGAGGGCCAATAGGGATTGCGAATTGAGGAAGAGGGAGGAGTTGAGTACAGGGTACCAGGAGAATTATGTTTCATTCATCTACCCGCATCGGATATCCAGCAAGACAAAGAAATAACGAGAAACAAGTGAACTGGATGGATGGAGTTGAAGGAGTTGAAGGAGTTGGTGGAGTTGATGGAGTTGATGGCGTCACGGGCCACTGACCGACCGGATTAGGGGTCCAGGCGTGGGGCCAAGGACATGTAGTAGTTGTATTATGGTATTATGGTTCCTGGACACGTGGGGAGAGGAAGCTTGAATCGGTCTTCTCTGGGCGTTTCAATTGAAAGCCTGGCTGGGTTGGGTGGGGGTTCAGGGCATTGCGTGTGCATTGCGTGTGCATTGCGTGTGAGTCGGGAAAGGTCCAAGAGAAGATTACCAACATTGGAGAGATCACATGATACTGCGTTTTAAGACCACCTCGTGTGGCCTTGGACAGAGAAAGGTCGTGGAAGGAAGCATTTATATTAATTACGATACGACTTTTTAGTAATACTAAAAAGTATATAGACTCTCTTCCCTTGAAAAATCAATGCCTATCTTTTTCTCTTACTTTTATTTTTTGATAACCTTAGAAAAAGAAACGTCTTATTTTTAAAATCAATTTTGAATCTGTCGGTTCCTTACTTATTGAACTACTAGTCAGAAGATTGCGATGACGCTAGATATTTAAAATGGAGGTACCTTAAAGGCAGGTAAGGGGTCATTTGAGCGGTCCTCTGACCCTCTTTTATAAAAAACGGTTAGTAGATCGTCTAAAACTAGTTACAAATCAAGAATAGTTCACCTTTTTAATCGTCCCCGAGCTTAAGACCGTCTTATAGCCGTCTCATGGCCGTCCCCGTCCATATTTCTAAAATAAGCTTACTAGTAAGCTCGTTTTAAAAAATTGAAATAGTTCGATAACAATTTTTTTTAAAAAAAATTATAAATAAAAATCATCTCTCAAATAAAATCTATTTAAATTATAAAATAATTCGATCATAGTTTTTAATAAATTATGATCACGATATAGAAACACGTTAATTAATAATATTATTTTAAGTCACAAAACATTTGTCAGAAGGTAGCTTTGTAGACAGGCAAAGATAGAAGAATAGGAATGTAGAAGTATGTAATCGTCGGCTTAAAGGATGTAAGGAGGCCCACCTAAGCGAGCCGACGATTATTGGTAGTGAACTGATCTCTGGGGCTCTAAGGGGCACCCTCGGATCAGTATATATAATTATACGCTACTCTTAAATAGGACTCCTTAATATCCTGAATACGATGCGAGATTATGATACGCATTATCAGAATCTCTGACTTGTCGGATCCTCATCTTAACTATAAGTGTAGCGAGGGCTTCCCGATAGTTAAACGGATACTGAGTATCCGAGTAGAGTATTCCTGTCGGGCGTGACATGGTAATCCTGTTGTTACGGTATTCGCAAGACAGGTCACGTGACATCAGATGGACACGCGTACGGGTTACACGTTACCTCGTGACCTTAGGCTTCCGTCTTGGCAAGACAGCCTATAAGACCTTTTCTTTCGCACTTAGTCTCTTCTACTTCTTCTTCTCCTTTTCATCTTTCTTTCTTATTACAGAGCGTACTCTTAGGTAGCAACTCAATACAATACTGCCTTCGACAGCCGTAACACCTGTAAGGTATATTGTCACGCATAACACTTTTAAAGTAAATTATAAGCAGCTCTTAAACTCTAGCTATACTATCGCAATACTACTTAATATGCTTTCCATGTAAAAGTATCTTTCGAAAATACATGTATTAACGCTAAATAAATTATTGTTATTGTTGTTGTTATATTTATTAACGTCGGGCGGGTATCTAAAACGCAATGCTTGGACCTTAAGGACCTTTTATAAGGTACGGCGACGTGCTAAATAAAGGAATTATATATAAAGTATTATTTAATCGAGAGTAAAAACTACGTTAAAGAAAACCTTTCGTTAAATAGCTAAACACTTGTAAACCTTTTAAAAGCAATTCATAATGCTATGCGTCGAGTTTTCTTTCGACAATTATCGAATACGTATAGCCTTACGAGCGGCCTCGATCCGCATAATATAAATATCGTTTTCTTTCGTCGTAAAGCTAAAAAGGCTCGCGTTCGTAGCTCTTAGATAAAGCCGGTATGTTTGCAAAACGCTTTTTCGAAAGCGCAGTATCGTGTTTTCGATCAATCGAATTAAGCCCTTTTTATCTTATCTTTTATATACGTTCTTTTTCTATCGCAAATCCTTTTAGTCTTTTCAATCGGTATGCTCGTTAAGTATAAATCGTAATCGGCGTAGTATTCGAAAAAAAGAAAGAAGGAAGTTCGGAATCGCCGGTAAAAGAAAATCTTTTCGAAGAGACGTCGCATATCGATGATTTAATTTCGGCTCTTTAAACTTTTTATCTTTTTTTTTACCGCAAGAGAAAAAAAGAAAAAGAGCTGAAGGTTCGTAAGGGGCACCTCGTACAGGTAAAGAATCGTAGCCCTCCAAGCTAAATAAATTAAAGCGTACTAAAAACAGTTTATCAAATCAACTTTATATATATAACTTATTCGAACAAATTATAATAACACGCAAGGTCTCCTGGGCAATATTCTCACGTGCGCCAAGCTACTTCCTTCTTTACCTCCTTATATTCTCTCACTTCTCTCGTTCCCCTCTTTTCACCCGTGAACCATGGTTCACGCGTCCTTGGCGCTTCCTACCTTCGTGTATATAAACCTCAGCTTCCTTCAACTTCTACACTCGGTAGTTGTTGATTCTAGGTTATTACTTTAAGATCTTCCTGAGCTCCATGTGATCCCCCGCGCTTCCATGAGTTCCTCAGGTAGTCGCTTAAGGTCGTCTAATCGAAATATTTTATAAATTAAAACGATTTTATTTAAGAAATGAATTTTATTTATAATTATATTTCTTTCAAAATAATTATTGAATTACTTTAATTTTTTAAAACGAGCTTATTAAGCTTGTTTTAAAAATATAAACGAGGACGGCTGTCTATAAGACGGTTATAAGACGGTCTTAAGCTTCGGGACGACCAGAAAATTGAATTATTCTTGATTTGTATTTAGTATTGATTTCAAACGGTCCAATAGCCATCTTTTATTAAAGAGGGTCAGAGGACCGCTCAAATGAACCCCCTACCTGCCTTTAAGGTACTACTACTACTACTACTATCTACGCGGTAAGGGTGCTTGGTGATTGTATTAAATACATGGATAATACAAATATAGACCGCCAGCTCCATTATAATACTTTTCAAAGCTGGATTTTTCTAAGTCGAATGATTCAGGCCCTGATAAATTCCTTGCAAAATTATTTTTTCGGTATGTATTCATGGAAGGGGATAGTAAAAGGGAAAGGTACGTAGTACGTAGTAGTAGGTATTACGGTCCTGGCAAGCCTTAGCATACCGGTAGTTCTACCGGTACTGTAAGGGTTGGTTAAAGTTGGATTAGTTAGCCGAGGTCACATGACACCCCGCTCCAAAGGATGCATATGCTCTCGGCCTTGTATTATAGTTCTCTCTTCTTCTCCTCGTCTTTCTTTCATACTAGTAGTACTTGGTACAAGCCCGAAATAATGTACAAACGCTGTCTGAGCGCAATTCTAGAGGTTTCCGTTGACAGGGCTCCTGTGCAGGGATACCTCCAATGATATAACGATGATAATTCGCCTCTTTTTGCACTGAAAATCAGCACTTTCATCATGGAGCCTTCATTATCAAGCAGTGATTACAGCAAGAGAAGGCCATACAAAATATTAGGGAAAGTAATAAAAGCAGCATTGCCAAGTATCTAGTGTGCACAGACTAGAATTGTACATTATTTACCCATGATACGAAGTACGTAGCGTGCAAATTGATAGCTACTACAATACTACCTTTCCTTAGCCGTAATAAGCTTAAAAGCTACGGGCACTATCGAGGTCAAGCTCTAGCTAGTAACTCGGACAACCTTGACACTTCGGACGATGGCTTGTAACGGAGAAGAAGAAGAAATAAATACGGAGGCGGGAGATATTAGTACTTTACGACGGGAAAGAAACGAACGAGGTAGACCGCTAAAAAGATTCGGAAATAAGCTTCTTAAAGACCTTGGACGTGGTGGAAATTTAGACTTCCAAAAGACTTTGGACCAGGGCGACTCCTTTTCGGAACCTGTTTTTTTGTCCGACCTTTATTACTGTAAAGCGCACTGTAATACTACGTAGCTTATAGGATTCCTAGAATACTTAATAGCGATTATGATGACTTCCTAAACTTAAGAGCGTTAAGTCTATACCCACTCTCAACTTTTGAGCTCTAAGGAATTCTTGAAAAAGTGTGGCTTTGTAGGTATACGTAGGATACGTGGTGGAGCCGAGCCCGCAGAGCCTCCGATTACCCCCGAGTGGGTTCTGCTCCTGACATGGGTCCTACGTAGTATTTTCTGCCAACGGCACAAGGAAAGCCCAGCCGGACGAAACGGCCCGGGATTATCCGTCCGTTGCCAAGTACCTTAAAACCAGGTGGGGCCCGGGGGTCATTAAGTACAGTACTTAGGATAAGGAGACGGTCACGACGGAAACCGTTGAAAATAAGCGCTGGTTCGAAATCAAAGATAGTTTAGTTTTTTAGACGTCCGCGAGCTTTGGACCCGTCCTGCAGCCGTCCCCGTCTACTTACTACGTACGTAGGTAGTAAGTAGTATTTAGAACGGGCCTCTTCGTTTTTAAGATTGAAAAAAGATCTACTGGCCGTCTATATTTCTCGACTAATTCAACTACGAGTTCGTTTGAGAATATTCCTTATTCAGCCAAGACTTGTGTAAGATATTTCTTCAGTGCCGCGCTCACGGCTTATACATCAATGCGTGAATAATTTTGAACTTAGAATCGATTGATTCAGCAAAAGTTGACTTCTTGCCCATCTATATCAGCTCAGCTTTCGAACAGGGGCTTGAGACGGTCCCAGGACGGTCTTTTCAGGACAAGACGGACTCCAATACCTACCTAGGTAGACGATACCGGTAATTCGACCGATTAAATGGATTCCATTTTAGTCCCGCTTTATTTCATTTGACCCGTTATTTCTCCGACACAGTGCGATTTTATTGCAACTCTTAACGACGAGTGGTCCACTGACCGTCTCCCAAGTTCAAGACCATCCCATCCTCCAGAAAACGGTCCGAACACGGTCCACATGACCTGCCTTTACAGTCATAGTGAAGGCCTCGGAAGGCAGCCTTGCACTACTCCGGACGACCGTTGCGAAGCGAGGTCCTTTGGGCCCGGAGCGTGCGGGAGGGCCGTACTGGAAATAGTGACGTAGCCCTCTTAGTCAGAAGACCGATTCCACATCTAGGAGTGCGAGCGGTAGATGTGGAAGCGATACAGGGAGAAAGTTATTTGGCCGAAGAAATAGGCATCCATCCATCCATCCATTAAAGATCCCGAGTCTCAATACGGTACCGTAGACGAAGTCGAAGTCGGACGGAAAGACGGGAGCGGCAAAGACGACGCGTGTGATTGGCCAGGGAAAGGATGAGATCCACCTCCGTCAACACCCCCACCCCCTTTCCTTAACCTAATCTATCCCAGCTGCAAAGGGGGTGGGTCGCGTGACATCATAGCTCCCGCATTACCGATGTTGGAAATTCGGGGACTGCCAGGGCCAGGAAATCAAACGCAGGGCATCTTTGGCATCTCAACCGAAAGCCTTCTGGCATCGCACACTTCGCCTCTCTCTCTCTCTTTCTCCTTCACTTACACATAACAGAAATCCTATCATCACCCTCACGCTCCCTCCCTCTCCCATCCACAACTTCGACTCCGACTCCGACTCCGACTCCGACTCCAGCTTCCCCCGATATTCTGGTCTGCACAGTCAACCACCCACCTGGCTTCCGGCAGATCCGCCTCGGCCTGCACTTGTTGCTGCTCCGTACATTATTACCGTGCGGCCAGCCCGGCTTGCTCTTGAACCCGAGCCGACGACCAGAGCTTCACCATACAAAGTGATTAATAAGCCCCTCCCAGGCTCTTCTCCCTCCCTCCCTTCCCTCGTCCCTTCTCTGCGCCTCTCCCCCAAGATACCCAGATACCTCAGATACACGGTCGGGAAAATGTCTTTCCTTAAGAAGCCCTTTAAGAAGCTGCGCGATGTTAGCAGTCACATTTCCAGTGACTCCAAGGGGTCCAGTAGCCCGACTTCCAGCTCGTCAAATGGAGGTACTACACCGATAAAGGGCCACGCGAACGGGAATCCCGGTGCATCCGAAGTGGATTCCAGACGCCAGAGTCGCGAGGTCATCAATGCCAACAAGGAGCGCCGGAGTATGGACAAACAGCGGGCAAAGGCCGAGACGCGAAAGCGCGAGACCATGGCGAGGATAGAAGACGAGAAGTTCTTGCAGGAGGGACCTCCCGATATGACGAAACTGTACAGACCTTACAGCATGAACATGAGCAAGAGATGGAACCATGAGGACCGCCTGTTATTTAAGGATATGGACTGTGAGAGTACGTTTACACTTCTGGCTGATGTAAGGCGTAGCTAATAAGTCGGCAGAATTGGACGGCACCACCATTTCCTTCCGGGCCAGAATTCACACCTTGCGACGAATGAGTGCCAAACTGGTGTTTATTGTCTTCCGCCAGCAGACCATGACTATCCAAGGAATTTTGCAGAGCTTCAAGCCTATTCACGAATTGACCGGTATGAGCTCCTCCACATGTCTCGTTACTCCGCTAACAATCCTACCCGTAGAAGGCGAAGACAACACAGGTACCATCTCCGAGCACATGGTCCGTAGCATCGAGCACTATGTGAGCGAAACCATTGTGGTTGTACACGGCAAGTTGCGAAAATCTTTGCAGCGGGTCAAGAATGCCACGATTCACGATTATGAGATAGATGTCTACGAGGTGCACAAGGTAGGGGATCTGACAGAGAACGTTCCCTTTACTGTATACGATGCCGAGAACATCAATCGCGAGAAGGATGACAACGACGATGAGGACGACGACGATTCTCTGTACCCGTCTGGGTCATCTCTGGATACGCCCAAGGAATCAAAGTTTGGAACTCCGCGATCGTCTGTTGATATGTTCCGTGTTTCTTCGGACGCCATTCGAAAATCGGTAGGTGGAGCTACAGCTGGCTCTCCAGTACCAAAGGCCTCGGGAGAAAAGAGCCGAAGTATGTATCCTCAAGACCAATGAACATTCCCTTCTGACAGAAACAGCGAGTATGGATGTCTCGAGACCACGAAGATCTCTCCCCCAACGAGTTCGTCTCAACAGCCGTATCGTAGATCTCCGAACTGGCCCAGCACAGGCTATTTTCCGCATCCAGTCCGGAATCTGCAACCTCTTCCGCACATATCTGGATGACAGAGGGTTCATCGAGATCCACACCCCCAAGCTTCAAGGCGGTGCGACCGAGTCGGGGGCTTCCGTGTTCGAAGTGAACTACTTTGGTCGCCCAGGTTTTCTCGCCCAGTCTCCCCAACTCGCCAAACAAATGGCTATTGCAGCCGATTTTGAGCGAGTGTACGAGGTTGGACCGGTCTTCCGAGCCGAGGACAGCAACACGCCTAGGCATTTGACCGAGTACACAGGATTGGACCTGGAGATGGCTCTGGAAGAGCATTACCACGAGGCCCTGGACATCATCGATGGGATGTTCAAGAACCTGTGGAAGGGCATCTACGAGAGATACCAGAAAGAGATCGACCTGATCTCTGAATTCTATCCACAAGAGAGAGTCATGTGGCTGGAAGAGACACCACGGATCAAGTTCAAAGATGGCGTTCAACTTCTGATAGAAGACGGCTGGGTCGACGAGGATGGGAACCCCCCCAAGGAGACCGAAGATTTGGCCACCCGAGCTGAAATTCGATTGGGGGCCATTGTGCGGGAAAAGTACAAGACGGATTACTACATCTTGGACAAGTTCCCTGCCTCGGCCAGACCGTTCTACACGATGCCTGACCCAGATGATAACACGTACACGAATTCCTTCGATATTTTCATGAGAGGGCAGGAAATCCTCTCAGGAGGTCAACGCATCCACGATGCGAAGTTCCTCGAGAAGAACCTCAAGACGAAGGGCATCCACCCGGATACGATGATCGAGTACCTGGAAGGTTTTCGCTGGGGAGCCCCGCCTCACGCAGGATGCGGCATCGGTCTTGAGCGTCTCACCTACCTCTTCCTCAACCTTGGTAACATTCGCCTTGCCTCCCTCTTCCCGCGTGACCCCAAATCGCTCCCCGCCAAGCAGATCGCCCTGGCCCTCCGCCACGAAGACGCTAGTACTACCAACCCTCCTTGGGAGTCCAAGGATTACCAAGACGACGAGGAGGAAGACAGCATCGCCGGCAAGCACAAACTGCAGCCCCTTGAGAAGCTCATTGCCAATTACGGCGATGCAGCCAATACCTCCTGGCTCGATAAGCGCTACCAGCTCTGGCGCCACCCCTCTACCGGCGCAGCGCAAGGCTACATCGTGCACAATAACTACGCCATTGCCGTCGGAGAGCCCCTATGCGCCAAATCCCAGTACCCGCAAGTCATATCCGCCTACCTCAACTATCTCAAACAAGAGCGCAAGGAGCTCAAACCCCTCTGGATGATCGCCGGTCCTCAGGTTGAGGAATACCTCGGCGAGAAGTTCCTCTGGCGCACATTTGGCTGCATCGCAGAGGAGCGGACCGATCCCCGCAACAACCCCGCCGCGAAAGACAAGGACCTCGCGCGCAAGATCCGCCACGCGGCAAGCGAAGGCGTCAAGGAATTCGACCTCCCTTTCAACGAGCCCATTCCTGATGACCTGGTGCAGAAGATCGATGCTCGTATCGCCGACTGGAAGAAGGGCCGCAAGGGCACACAGGTTCATCTCACAGAAATCAGACCGTGGGTCGACCAGGTGCATCGGAGATACTTCTACTCTCAGAGCGGCGATGGCACCATCCAAGCCCTTGTCGTGCTGCATCAGCTGTCTCCGCAAAACGGATACCAAGTCAAGTTCTCCCTCGAGTTCCCCGGCGCCCCTTCAGGCACCATCGAATCCCTCATCCTGCACTCGCTGAAGGCAATTGCAGCAGCCGACCCTGGCTGCAAACAAGTCACATTCGGGACAGGCGCGATGCCGACGTTGGAGGGGGCTCGCAACCTGAGCAAGGCGAAGGTCAAGGCGCTGAAGAAGGCGTACGATACTATCAACAAGCAGTTTAAGTTGACGAACAAGAGCGAATTTCGCGAAAAAATGGGGGTGCGAAATGAACCTGTCTATGTTTGCTATCCTCGCGGAGGCTTAGGCGCGGGGGGTATCAGAGCGATTATGGGGTTCTTGGAGGAGGACGGTTAGATAGATGGACTATCTGCCTCTTCTGGGTTGAAGGGGAATGGGAGTGAAGGTCGCGATAGGGACGGGAGTGCAGTGGTGCGGAAACTTCGCGAGAATAGATGGATGGATATAAGACGTGTTGTATGATGAAAAGGGGATAGAAAGAGATAAGCACTTTCGGCATGGATTCTTTTCCTCTCATTATCTCGATGGACCGAGGGTTGAAGGACGATGCACTGGTTGGCGTTCAGCGAGCGGGATTACGTCTAATTGAGGAGCGTCTCTATGTATAATGCCGAGCCCTCCTTTCCCCCCCTCCTTCCCGCATTAGCAAGAGGTGCAAGAGATAGATGAGGGGAGAAGGATGGGAAAGGAGAGCGAAGTAGTAGATGAAGACTAGGTAGTGAAATAATACGTAGATGAATCTTTTGTATACTCTCCTTGGATGCTTTTCCTTTTGATTTTCTGTGCTGGCTTCTATTGGCTTGTATTCGGCAAGCATAGGAGATGGAGTGTTAGCGAATATGCTCGCTACGGGTGGATTCGATGCGATTGGGGATAAGGTGGTTGATTGATTGACTGACTGTTTGTAGCTGTTGATTGTGATTGTGAGTATGATTATACTAAGACAATCGACGTTGCCCTTGGTAATTAAGCTGCGAGAGGCCCGAAAGTAAATAGAAGGAAAGTTTAATTGGGATTAGGATTAGGATTAGGATCGGGAAGTTTATCAAAACGGGAACGGGAGATAATCATATACCTACTACGTACTTACTTACCTACCATGTACCGCATATTTCCCACCTTCAAGTTTTTGCAAGCCCTTCTTCGACCCGACCCGACCATTGGACACTGATTTAGATCGACTTGGGAATCGGTTTGCGGTTTGTTACCTCTTGTTGGCTGAGATGTTGGGATGCTTGGATTGGTTGATGGGTTGGTTGATGGGTTGGTTGGTGGGGTTTGTTGAGGGGAGGAAGAGGAGAGAGGGAGGGAGGAGGTGTTTTGAGGTGGGTGTACGTAGTTCGTTGTATGTTGCGAAGAGGTGGAGAGTTGGGGGTTCAAAGGGGAGGGGGCAGTTTGACTTTTGCAGTTTGACTTTTGAATTTTGACTTTTGAAATTTGACTTTCAAATTTTGACTTTTGAATTTGACTTTTGAATTTTGACTTTCGAATTTTCACTTTCGAATTTTCACTTTTCTACTTTTCTACTTTTGAATTTTGTAATTTTG